TGCTTTTAAGGTACCCCTGGGCTCTTGTTTAATTCCCCCACAACCCAGCTATCCCCCTGGAAGTAGGCCCATAGCTACAGAGGGGTATCTCGGCTCCGCCCCCTTAATTTTGAGAGCCAGTTTGGTGTCGTGGACAAGTGCGTGGACTCCAATCCGGGAGAACCGGGTTTGATTCCCCACTCCTCCACTCGCAGCTGCTGGATGACCTTGGGCAAGCCATAGTTCTCTCAGAGTTGTCCTTGAAAAAGAGCCGTTTCCGTCAGAGCTCTCTCAGCCCCACCCACCTCCCAGGGTGTCTGTTGTGGGGAGGGGAAGGGAAGGGAGTTTGTAAGCTGCTCTCAGACCCCCTTGGGTAGTGAAGGGCGGGGTATAAATCCAATCTCTTCCTCCTCCAAGGGAACACTGCCCCTAGGTAATTTACTACAACTTATTACAGAAGCCGTGCTACAGTATCGTAATATAAAACACAGCCGTGAATCACAGTGCTTGTTTGTTTCTGATTCAGTGGAAGGCAGCTTTGTGCATGTTCATGTGAGTTCGTCTCATTTGGGTACCATTTCAAGATATGCAACTTTCAGTGCATCGAGGTCTTACTTGGGGAGCAATCAGGCCACTGTGACATGAAACTGTCACACATGGACAAGAGCAGTGCCATTCCCAGGCCCAGTGGCTGCTGGGATCTTCAGTGGGACTGAAAAACCTGGTGTTTTCGCCGAGCACCAAAGAATAGATTCTTTTGAACTATGGTGCTGGAGAAGACTCTTGAGAGTCCATTGGACTGCAAGAAGATCAAATCAGTCAATCCTAAAGGAAATCCACCCTGACTGTTCCCTGGAAGGCCAGATAATGAAACTGAAGCTCAAATACTTTGGCCACCCAATGAGAAGGGAGCACTCACTGGAGAAGACCCTGATGCTGGGAAAGACTGAAGGTCAAAGAAGATGGGGACGGCAAAGGATGAGATGGTTAGACAGTGTCATAGATGCAACGAACATGAAGTTGAGCCAACTTCAGAGGACGGCGGAGGACAGGAGGCCCTGGCGTGATCTGGTCCATGGGGTCGCGAAGAGTCGGACTCGACTGTGCGACCGAACAACAAACCTAAATTGGGTATAGTGGTTAAGTGCGCGGACTCTAATCTGGGAGAACCGGGTTCTATTTCCCACTCCTCCACTTGCACCTGGCTGGATGACCTTGGGCAAGCCACAGTTCTGTCAGAGCTGTTCTTCAAAAAGAGCAGATATGGAAATAACCGAAATAGTAGCAAGGTTTCTTCTTAGTGCTATGGCTATACGTTCTGATAAGTAACCATTAGGTTTTTCTGCTTTCATGCTGTTTTTCTGCGCCGTAGCTCCAAATTTACCCTATATGGATTTGTATTTTCCGATCTATATTTAATCTTATCTCCTATATCTCTCATATACGTATGCCATTAAAGGCTTGTCAAAGTAAGTTTCTGTCAGAGCTCTTTCAGCCCCACCTACCTCACAGGGTGTCTGTTGTGGGGAGGGGAAGGAGTTTGTAAGGCTCTCTGAGGCTCCTTTGGGTAGTGAAGGGCGGCATGTAAACCCAATCTCTTCTTCTCTTTTTAATGGATTCCAGTTTGGTGTAGTGGTTAAGTGCGCAGACTCCAATCCGGGAGAACCGGGTTTGATTCCCCACTCCTCCACTTGCGCCTGCTGGATGACCTTGGGCAAGCCATAGTTCTGTCAGAGCTGTCCTTGAAAAAGAGCAGTTTCTGTCAGAGCTCTGTCAGCCCCACCTGCCTCACAGGGGGTCTGTTGTGGGGAGGGGAAGGGAATGGAGTTTGTAAGCCACTCTGAGACTCCTTTGGGTAGTGAAGGGCCATGGGGTATAAATCCAATCTCCTCCTCCTCTTCTAGAGATGTAAAATATCTAGAAATTTTAAGTTGGTGATGAGAAGCTGTTGCTTTTTTCCCCTTAGGTGAATGGAAATAGAAATTGGGGGGGGGGGATTGAAATATATGCAGTACTTGCGTTGATATCAAGTCTCACTATCTTTTACTGATTTAACAACAGGAAGTGCATCAATTTGTAACTTAAGGCAGTGGCTAAAATAGAAGCACCGAGCACAGTTACGGAATTCTAAACTAGGGATATCTTCTTTTCCTACAAGAAAAACTGCAAATTCACTCACTGCGAGAGAGTTGTAAACCACTGTACCCTAGACTACCTTAGCACATGGATAGTAAATTCCTGCCATTGGGCAGGTAGGAAAAATGAACATTGCTTCCTAACTAGTTCAATGCTGAGGGCCGTGCATGAGGTTATCCGTTCGCACCAAGGAACCATCCCTTGGCAGGGAGGGAAGGGGGCTCTTAGTAGTTGGTGATTCGATTCTTAGGCAGGTAGACAGCTGGGTGGCGAGGAGCCAGTGGTCGTAACAGAGTGTTGAACTAGATGGGCCATTGGCCTGATCCAACATTGGCTTCTCTTATGTTCTTATAAGAGGGGATTGGATAAACATCTGGAGCAGAGGTCCATCAAAGGCTATTAGCCACAAGGTATAGATAGGAACTCTTGGTCTGGGGCAAGTGATGCTCTGTCTTCTTGGTGCTTGGGAAGTAGGGGGCAACAGTGGGAAGGCTTCTAGTGTCCTGGCCCCACTGCTGGACCGCCTGATGGCACCTGGTGCTTTTGGCCACTGTGTGACAGAGTGTTGGACTAGATGGGCCATTGGCCTGATCCAACATTGGTTCCTCTTAGGTTCTTACGTTGTATACATGGGCTACGCGTCCTCCGGATCATGTGATCCTCCACCCTACGAGTTAATCGCTGGTGTTCTCCTCCTACAGGTGGCTACGACGGAGAGACTTTCCTGGCCAGCGTGGAATGCTACGACCCCACCACCGATACGTGGGCCGAAGTGACACACATGACCTCGGGGCGCAGTGGCGTGGGGGTGGCGATAACCATGGAGCCCTGCCGGAAGCAGGTGGACAACTGTGACTGTCAAAGCACCAGGGAAGAAGGGAAATGACCGGGAGGGGGTCCCAGTATTAAGATGGAGCTGCTAAGTCCTTTTCTGCCAGAACCCCAGGAGAGTGCCAAAAGGGCTTCCAAACCTATTTAAACTGCTCTGGGAGGCAACCCCTCCCAACGGACAGCTCTTAGTCTTGTGTTCTTGTCTGTCAGGATAGCGATAGCCGCTGATCACGGGGACCCCTGAGTGTTAGACTGGACTTTGGGGGATGGTGCGTCAATCCACGAAGGAACCACCCCAAAAATGCCTACTGCACATTGTGGTTGTAGTCTTCTGAAATCAAATCACCTACTGCCGGGGGAGGTCCCTGCTCCTGACATACCTGCAGGGATAGGTGGTGGCAGCATCTCTCTGCGAATGCTGAGGTGGTGGCAGCATCTCTCTGCGAGTGCTGAGTTCTGCAGACATTTTGAGCAGGGACTCCTGGCTCTCGCCTCCCCAGAAGGTCCTTAGAAAGTGTAACGAGCAGAAGAAGAGAACTGGTCAGAGTGGGAGGGACAGGCTTTTTCGTACATGACTGATGCTCTTGCAGGTAAGTGACAGTATCGGTGGGAACGTGAGCACTCAGGTGTGGCCAGGCCCAAGCTGTTTTTATCAGTCCCTACAGGGAACAGCAGGTGCTAGCCTGGGTGAGCATTGCTTGGGGGGAAGTTTCCTGTTCCAGCAGCCCTGCGCCCGACAAGATTATAAACGGAAGCGGGGTTTTTTGATTCACGCTTTTCACACAAATAAAATTACTTTTTGTGATTCGTACTCGTTTCGGTTTATTTGTTCGTAAAAACACAACTCCCCTTAAAGCGAAAACAGCACAGAAGGACAAATGCTTTCCAGGCAGTAGGCTCTGGTACGCCCGCCGCACGCATGCATCGATTTCCCAGCCTGCGTCTTGGTCACCAGGAGGTAGGCACCAGGCTCCAGAGGTAATCGCTCACAAAGCAGCGGGAGTGTTGGCCGCTCTCAAAGCTGAAAGGCTGAGCGATGTCTGGCCCGTGATGGGCTGAGGGGGAGAAAGGGTTAAAGGAAAAAAACGGACAGTTTTCCCTTTGCTGTAAAGAAAGCCCCTCCTGATTAATTAGAAGAGGGGCCCTGACTCAGTTGCAGAGCCCCTGCTTGGCACACAGACGGTTCATACTATCGAACAAAGAAACACTGTGATAAAATTGACAATATTTAATGATTCTTATGAACATCAATTTGTGTATCAAGACTTTTCCAATATTGCTTAGGAAATTCTGACATTTTCAAGGGGAAGTCCAACATCATCATATCCTCAATGAGTGCCCGGCTGACCACTCATTTCACGAATCTTCCAGAAGGTGGCAGGTTCAATCCCTGGCATCTCCAGTTAAAAGTGAACCGCCAGCCACACCCTTTGTAACACCTGCAATCTTTCCCCAATTTTTTAAACTACGCCTTGCGGTCACACACACAAAATAATCCACTTTCAATCCACTTTCCAAATGGATTTTTACTGTGTGAACTGGCAACATCCAATTTGAAAGTGGATTATTTCATGTGCCTAGAAAGGCTTTTCAACGTGCTGTTTACTGTTACAGTTTCCCATTATATTAGTAGACAAACACACTGTCACAGCTCAGGTGGGGTGTCACCTGATGCTGCCACCACTCTGGTTCCAGGCTCCCTTGAGAAGGCCCAGAGCACCCTCCCAAGACCTTCAGACCTCCCTTTTGGCCAAATAACAGGCGTGAGGACCAGGCAGAGTGAACAATGAAAATAGTTTATTGTATAGGAGGTCAAACAAACCTAGCAGTTCGAAAGCTAATTGCAAGTAGATAAATAGGTACCACTTCAGTGGGAAGGGAACAGCGTTCTGTGCACCTTGGTGTTTAGTCATGCCGGCCACATGAC